TATGCGACACTTCTGATACCTTGGCAAACTTATATGGGCCTGTTGCTTGAGAGACACAAAATATTTGAAGGAAATCAGAGCTGAAAGGATAGTAAAAAAAAGTTCTCTCTTATTGTGAAAACTTTAAAAACCACATAAACTGCACACAATAATGTTATGTACAACACATACATCTCCACCTACAGAAAAAAACATTGTCACCTGTTGAAATTTTCATTGCCCATTTATCAGTGTATAATTCTCTATACTATGCTACTGCATGAATGCCATCAGGAACAGGTCCAATGTAATGCTGCTTTCTTAAATTCTATTTTGCATTTCTGACAGTCTTCTTATCTGTGCAAGAGGAAAATCTGGCTTTCTCTCAAAGCTCTTTAATTTATGGAGATAATTTTCATATGGAAAAGTCTAAATAAAATCTAAACAACTGTGTAACTGTGCGTCTGCTGAAAGATGGACCAAGGCATCCACATTATAAACAATCCATCTTTGCCATAGAGCTCAACAAAATGCGTTACAAACATGGATAGCAATGTGTTTGTATAGCCACTGTATAATGGGCAGAGCTGTGTACTAATAAGTATACAAATATTTGTACAGAGCAGCATAAAGTTGTTATAGACATGACTGTCCAAATACGGTGCCAAAGCAACATGACCTGTATATAAGAGAAACTGTCGTAACTCAGTAGCTTTCCAACGATCCAGCTCTCTTAGTGATCTAGGTTTCCTTGCAAATTCTGCTGGTAAATGTAGACACATCTGAGTAAGTGTTTCTGAAATCCTGTCAAAGGACCCCTCAACCAAATCCTTAACAATCAACGCATCACACCTAAACACACAACATGCATGTAATCTAGAGGGAACTGAGTGACCATACCAATATCTAGATTGGCGAAACCACATGGTCCTTCATGGTGATGGCTCTCATCAGTTCTTTCCAAAAATGACGTCAGTCCGTAAAGTGTAATCATTTAAGGGGTAAGTCATTCAGTTGTTAATGTAAACGCCTGGTTGGCAACATTTATCACAACCATGATATGCATTGTGGCACTTCACATTTTTTTAGAAAGGCTCTGGCAGGTGCATCACAGATCAAGCTTGATAAACACTTTTTGCCTGAAAAAAAAACAAAAAAACCTCCTTGTAGTGGTTGTAACTCACATGTAAAATCTTTAAAAAATTCATTAGGGCAACTTTTTTTTTCTTACCACAAAATAGACCAATTACAACTGGTTCCTTCATTGGCACACTTAGCAGAAGTCCTAACATTGGCCACAGTTGCATGCTTGTGCTTTTAAACAGCAGTAACCCATCAACATTTATTTGTAATCTAAACGTAAATCTGTCAGAGACTCTGTCTATCAGTTGTGATAAAGTATTACAAAGTGATGTCAAAATGCCTCTATAATGTTAAAGTCCACCAGCTTGTTTGTAGATGCTATACTGAGTTTGTGTTTTGAGAACGGTTTGCGCATCCCTGGGCAGGTCTGGATGGTACACCCTCAACACACAAAGGAGGGCTTTCAGAGCCACTAAAGAGATGTTAAAACGCACAGCCCATTTTGACAGCCTCTCAACTAAGGGTACTGGTGCATCTGAAAAGTCTTAAGTCTCAGACCCTGCACTAACCTGTCACTGTCAGTGTCATAAGCAGCGTGACAAGGGTCTGGTCTGTTAACTACAGTCTGATCCGATGTTAACTGACAGTCTTCAGCTATGTCATGGAGTCTTTTCGCTAATGATAAACGTGCCCTACGCCTGACTCCAGAGTCCGTTAACGGGGGCTCCCTCCTTTTCATTTAGGCACTAAAACGGATTAAAAGGTGAGAAGAAAAAACTAAGTGATTGGTTATCAACAGTGCAAATTAATCTATAAAATTCAGTTGTTACAGCTTTATGAGAAATAATTAATAGTCTTTACTACAGATGGAAAGATTGATCTGATATGTATCGATATCGGCCGATTTTCAGTCTAAACATGCGATCAACGATCGGCCAATATTTCTGTAGCTTAGCCAATCCTGCGAGCTGATCAGTGACGTAAAATATATGAGCCATATTTTGCCTGAGGCGCCAGAATGTAGCTGCTGCACCATTTAAGGTGGATGGGGAAACTGACATATAGGAAGCCAACTGTAGCCTTATCATAACTAAATAAATAAAATACATCTTTCCTGATGTATATTATTACATATTTGGCTCCTATTGCACAGGAAGCTCACTCTATGAATATGCAGAACTGTAATTAACACCGTTTGTCCTCAAAGCTTTGAGGATTTGTTTCTGTTAGCATGTTAGCATCCGAGTGCTAATCTTAGCTTAGCTTAAACTGCAATAGCCTCGTGACCTACAGCTTTGGCAGGGGCTGAAAATAAAAATAAAGACGAAGAACTACAAAAGCGATCGTATGTCAGCACTCTTAGCCTTTTTAGTACATCTGTGAAGCAAGAGGACTGTTTTGTCCTAAAGGCTGGCTCAGTTGCGTAGGGGCCGGTTATTTCAATGATTACTGCTGCACCATTTAATGGGAAAATTCAAACAAGAAGCTGGCGAAAGGGCTTCAGCTTCAAGGGCTGAAAGGCATGAAAAGGGATGAGGCTGTTACTCTGTTTTTGCTGAGCAGGTAGGTTACATCAATTTATTTCTGCTGTTTCACAGAATCAGAAGCTCAGTATTTTATTATCCTAATGTTTGTGGTTAGCTTCACAGTAGCAGCTGTAGTGACTGTTAACCCACAACTTGCTTAGTTACCTTACTTGCTGTGTTGTTGTTTGCTCTAATGTTATATCATGGCATTTATCAGTACAATCCTTGCAAAGAGTTTTATGTCCACAAAGATCTAAAAAAATAATCGTTTACCTTGGTAATGTACATCCATGAATTTGGGGGGCAGAGCTTTCAAATGATTGTACAATCATTACTCCACTAATAATATTTTACCAAGTGGTTTTAAAAAAAAAGCAGTTGTGCTGTTAGCAGAAAAAACTTTCAAAAATACAACTGAAAAACATGCCCAGTTTGGAAGAGCAACTTCTCATTGCAGGAAGCTGTGAGTTGCAGTCAACTAATACTTTACAAATGTCACTGAACAAAATGTGTAGATGTTGACTATGGGCTGTTTTTTGTCTTAAGTTAAGATCTGACAGGTCAAGATAAGATTTTTCACAAATTTCACAAACAGAAACAAATCTGATCTTAATTTAGGAATTTTATCTTATCGTACAGCATCTTATCTGAAATTAGAAAATTTTAACCTACTCAATCAAAGTCGACAATCAACTGTCATGTCTGTTACCTAACAACCGACCATACACACACACACAGCTGAAGCGTAGACACATACTTCAATTAATGTTACAAATGTAAGTTACAGCTACCATTACAGATATAAAAAGATCAAAATAAAACTAAAAGGTAATAAGCTGGAGATTAACATTATTGTGTGTGTTCCCCGTTGTCGTTTATCAGAGCGTCACCACTCCATTTCCCAAACACTTTAGCCGAGCATGCTAACGTTATTGTTCCTAATAAACAGACACGTGTTCAGCTCTGTCTTCTCATTATTCACCACCATCACTGTAATATTTCATCATGAACATTAGCACATGAACGTAATAAGAGGGGACGGTGGAGATTGTGTCTGCAGTGTCTGAGATTTTTAAAACGCAGAGTTAGAAAAGAAAAACATTTCACAGTGAAAGCAGTGTTTTACAGTATAAATAAATGTAGCCTCATTATGCTAGTAGTGAACTATGCTGCCTGACTCAGCTGCCTAAAAACCATAGAAATGGACATTTAAACAGAAGTTAGGACACTGTTGAGGCTTTATCCTAAAGTTAGAACAGTATTTAGGAGATTTAGTCTAGTTGGAATGTTTGTGTAATATGGCTTTCTCATCTGGAGTTTATGATAAGATTATGAAGTTAGGAACTGTTGTTCTGTAATAGCTACTGTCCTAAATTCAGTTGTCATGGAGACTAAACAGATCAGATTTCAGAGTTAAGATGTTTCTGTAATACGGCCCCAGACTTACCATCAGCAAGCAGCCACCACTGCAAATGTTTTGCATTCACTCACAATAGTTTTGCATCCCCGCTCAATAATATTTTGGCCCCTTGCAAAAGCTAGGCTTGTGCCTGTTGACAGTTAGAGTCACGGTTATACAAGTTACTGAGGTATAAGCACCCAATGACAGTAAAAACTCAATTACCATTGGTTTAAAAACTCTTCATTCATTAATTAAATGCAAACCACAGCAAAACACTATTACTCCCAAGGATGAATCATATCTTATTTTTCATGTGACCACCGTGTTTTGCGATTATGATTGAAATATTTGGTTGGGAACAGAAGTGTCATTCGTTACACTTTTTAGCTAGCGAAGTTGAAGAAAGTGTGCTTATTTTTAAAGTATAGTTTGTCTAATTAAATGTCTCTGAGACAATGTGCAGTTTGCGGCTGTCAGTACAGCCGAGTGACGATGAAATAACAACAAGAACAGCAGCGCTACAAGCTTAAACAGCACTGAGCTGCAGTGGACACAATGCTGTGGCTTCATACAGAAAAAGCCCAGTTGTTAAAATTGTTAAAAGCATCAAATCTGTGTCCATTAAATGAAACCAGATGATAAACCACCAGTTGAACATCACTGTTTGTTCGTGACAGACTCGCATTAAATGTTTAACACGTTATATTCTCGTTATAACTGGATATATTCTGCCCTCACTAGCTATTACTGTTCACTAGCTAGCAGGCTGGGCAGGTACCGGAAAGCTAGCTAGCTGGCTAACAGGCTAATGCTAGATTAATAAAAGACAGACTTCAAGTTTAAGCCATTAAAGAAAGCATTAACTTTAAAAAACGGACACGTGTGAATGCTCAGAAAACTAGAGCGCTAGCTTGCTGACGTTAGCAAGATTAACAGCCAGTATAGGCGTTATGCCGAAGGTCACATGACCAAACCGGAAAACTGGTCTCATCCCATCCGCTTGTCGGAGAAGGCGGTAAAAACAGTATGAGCTGACGGCGGTAGGGACTTCGGTTATCCTAGCTAGTCCCTTTTTATTTTTGGAGTTTAATTAGCTTTTAATATCTGAATGTTTGTCAGGAGAAGAAAATGTCTTCGTCAAGACCTATAAAGTACCAGAGGCGGGATAATCCAAACAGTGATTTCTGCTGTGTACCTCAATGCCCAATGTCAGGGAAGTTCAACTCTACTGTAAGCTTCCACTATTTCCCAAAGGACGAAACCTCAAGAAAAATATGGATCCGTAATGTGAGACGTGAGAATTTGGTAATTAAGAGGACCACGACAGTCTGTAGTAGACATTTCCTCTCCACGGATATCGTTCAAGGTGGGCGACGACGCTTGAAAGAGGGGGCTGTGCCTGTGTTGTTTGCCTGGAACAACTACTCACCAGACCAAGTGTCTGGGAGAGAACACCACGACCAGAGGATGCATTCAATGAAAAGGAAAATATGGATGCTGGTTTGCTGCTTCAGTGTCATGATTATGATGCAAAACCAGAACCATCAGCTTTAGATATAGCATGTGAGAAAATAGAGGCCCAGCAACTGGTGATAGAAGAGCTGCAAAAGAGGCTGAATGCGATTACACTGAAGCAGTCCTTTAGCCTGCAGAGGTTTCTAGCATCAGATGATGACATCAGATTCTATACCAGGTACGTATTATGTCATATGATATTCACCTTACCCCTGTGGTTATGATTTTGTTGCAGACCTAGATTGTGTCCCTATTTATTAATTCATTCATCCGTTAACCTCTATTCATATACTGGGTGACCAAGGAGAGCAGCTCTTTTATGTAGGCATCCTATTAAAGTCAAAGAATAAAAACTATAAGATTGACATTAAATCATAGAACTTCAAAAAAGGCAGCCTTAAAAAAAATGTAAGTTATTAAAAACAATAACAAGAACATGGGGCAAAACATGATTAAAATCGCCAAGCACTCAGTCATTGCTGGTGTAGATTCAGTTTATTGTGGAATCCACTTTAAAATGAGCTGGTTACTTTTCAGATTATGCTGCAATTCATTCTAACTAACAAAATATGTAGGCCAGTGTACTGATGCAACTTCCTGGCAAGATCTACCAGGGCAAATATAAATAATATGCTATGCTCTGATTTAAAGGCAATAATAATTTCCTTTCACTCTTTTAGATTTTCCAGCTACCGCCATCTCCAAGCATTTTGGAGACAGATTGAACCTGCAACAAGGAGGATTGTGCGTGTTGGAAGACGGTCATCCACATCCAGCACAACAGCAGCTCCTGACCCTGACAAGGCCACTGATCTACCTTATCGACTGGTACTCATAGCTCATACTACATCATTTTGTTTTTAAAAGCAGCTTGCTGATAAATCAATACCCAAGAGAACATTACTGTCCCATTCAGTGTAATTCAAAACACACACATTTATGCTGACCAGGCAATGATTATCATTATTACCACTCTGCCCCCCACCAGAGCCGATGCCTTCCACTGATTGATGAACTGTTCCTGTTCTCGGTGTACCTGTCGCTGGGTTTGAAGGAGAAAGATCTGGGTGATCGTTTCAACATTCATCAGTCCACCGTCAGCAGGGTAATCAAAACGTGGGTACATTTTTTGTATACCTTATTGGGCGTCGTTGGGATATGGATGATTCCTGAGACAATTAAAGCCACAATGCCGAGTGTGTTCGGCAAGTACTCTGATACACAAGTAATCATTGACTGTACAGAGTTGAGATGTCAGATGCCTTCATCTTTACTCTTACAGAGTGAGATGTTTTCACAGTATAAATCCCACACTACCCTGAAAGGAATGATAGGTGTGTCACCGCATGGTGCTGTTACCTTTGTGTCCTCATTGTATTCTGGCTCTATCAGTGACAGAGAATTGTTTCGGCAATCTGGCATTGTCCCTCTTTTGGATAAGGATATGGCTGTAATGGTGGACAAGGGTTTCAGAATCGATGACCTTGTGCCCTGCAAAGTTTACAGACCACCTTTTCTAAGTAAAAAGTCACAGCTGTCTCATGAAGAAGTGTTGGTCACTCAGGATATTGCACAGTTAAGGATACATGTGGAAAGGACCATCAGGCGCATCAAAGAGAACAAACTGTTTGACACCATTATCCCTCTGACCATTGCTGGCAGTATCAACCAGCTTTTCGCAGTAGCTTGCCTCCTAGCTAACTACCAAAACAAGCCACTGGTCAAGGCTTGGGCGAAAGAACTGACTATGTGTTAACTTCACAGAGCCAGCCTCTCTGGATACATGCACACTGAATGGGCTGTCAATATGCTTATCTCGGATCTGCTCTACGGGGTGTTTTACAAAGCAGGATTTCTCAGTTTAGCCAGATAATCCCAAAATGAAGCCTGTCCAATAGTCAAAGAGCTGAGGGATATTCTTATTAGACACTTCTCATCTTTGGTTTTAAGTTAACTGAGAAATGCTGCTTTGTGAAATACCCCCCCCCTCCCCGGACTCTCTTACGTTGCAGATTTGGTAAATATTTGATATGTTTTTTGTTTGTATTGCATTTTATTGTTGACTTTGATTGGTTTGTCAAAGTGCCAACTGTTTTCATTTACTGTCCCCCTGTTCTCTGTTTTTTGTATATCTAGTAAAATGTGAAATCAAAACGTGCATACTGTAAATTACATGAAATCATAAAACATCTTTTATAGTCACCATGAAACAAACTGTAAGATATTTTTTAATTTTGTTATTTACAAATAAATCTGTGAAAAGAAATTCTCTATGTTCATTCCAAAACAAACAGTACCTATTTTCATAACAATTACTATGTAACCTTTTGATGAACATATTACTTTTTTCAGCAATCTAAATCACACAGAATCATAGTGAGAAATTGCCCACAAGAACTCCCGAAAAGGCTACGGTTTCACTTCTAGAGCATAAAATGTGAATGACACAAATGTGAACAGTGCCCAAACTGACGTTGCTTGAAGAATCAGAACAATATTTTATCAAGTAATAGACAACATTGAGTAAATGGCACTCCTGTGGTATAATTACACTAGTTAGGCACATGTCGATGTGTAGCTTTATATGACCATTCTGTATGTTATGCAGACCCAAAGCGCTTAAAACAAACAAGACCTTATGAAATATTTAATTACACAAATTGTTATATGAATGTTATGTAATACAAATATATAAGCCAATGTATTTCCAAAATTCAGCTGAAATTTCAGTTTATGGCAGATAATTTCATTTTTCTTCATAGAAAGGCTTCCACTACAATTCTGTGTAAAACATTAAAATCTTTTAGAGAAAGACAGATACTTCTGCATGTACACATTAAAGTAAAACTGGTCTACCCTCTCTCTGATGACTGCTGTTACCTTCGGGTCAACATGGATACGCTGCACCAGCATGTCTTCCTGGGCACGAGTCACAAAGTCGCACCATTGCAGGCCAGTGATCAGCAGTTGACCCTGCACTTGCCAGTAGTACGAGTGGCTTTCACGGCGGGCCAATGTGCCATACTGCATTTGAAGGTATTTACAGTCTACATAGTTTTTCACATTAGGGCACTTTCTCAACCAGTCCAAATGGTGGTTGTTCAAATGGATCGAAGATCAAGCCATCTGGTGAGGCACCAAGCCAAGGGGCATCAGGGTGGATGACGAGACCACAGGGCATGTAGTTTACATTTTTCATCCTGCAGTACTCCAGGGCTACTGTAAACTCCATGTCGGCACCTCTTCTCATTTCTGCAGTCTGCCTTGTTCCTTTGAGGATTCTTTCTGCAAGAGACTCTGCAGAGCTCGCTCACCTCACAAAACACCTCTCTAAAACGTGAGGAGGTAATCCTAGATCTACGGAGCTGATGCCACTCCTGGTTTGCGGCTTGCTCACTTGTCGCTGCCTCAATCTTATAGGCCATGTCCAATGTGACCATCAAGGTTTTAAGGTGGAAGTGCTCCTCCTCAGTGCACACATGCACACACACTGTTGGGGCAAGCCTATATTCCTCAAGAGGCAGCTGAGGGTAAGGTGGAGGATCCTGGTGCATCTTGACTGACTTTGCTGGCAATATGGGCTGCTGGTACGAGAGCACACTCCCCTTTTGTGCTAAGCCAAAAGCTGTCTCAACAAGGGTCTTCATCACTGATGCACATAATTGCTGCTAGAGGTTTCTCTGTAATGTCAAAGTCTTTGTATGTGTCTCCAATTTGTAGCAAGGAGATGTCAAGTAGGTCCCCAACCAGGCCCTTGTAGAGTGTACTTCTGTAAAAGACAATAATAGCATTAAGCATCCCAACATGCAGTGACACAGGTATCCATCCTGTAAAAAAAGCACTGTCTGCAGAACTCTGTCTTTTTTGCCTACCCATTGTACACTAAAATTGCATATAATGTTTGCAGGTTTCTGACACCCATGAAAACCCTGATGGAGAAACCACTTAAAGGCCATTGTTGTAACACCTTTGGGCATACTGTTGGATTTTTAAAGTACTTAAATATTGGCATGAGCCTAAGAATATTAGCATCTGTCGCGCTCTGCTAGTTTATATAGTGTGTTAGGTGTTTTAATCTGTAACACTGCATAAACTAATTCTACTGCCAAATAACTGGCAGTATATAAAGACATATATACCAAATGTACCATGTACCTCTGAAATCTAGCAGCATAAAAATACAAAGTAGCATTTAATTAAAATAATCTCTAAATTGAATGTATAATTGTTGAGTAAAAGTACTTAGTTACTTTTCACTGATTACTATAAATGTAAAAATGTAAAAACCTGAAGTCAAAAGGAGAACTAGAGGCAGAACAGGTTACACCCAGAACCACAGAACTGATCCTTGTTTGTGGAGAGACATCTGCAAGACAGCCTATGTTTCTGATGCAAACTACTGAGAGTCAAAATACCTTCACATGCAAAATGGCACTCTGGCTTTCTGTCAGCTGCTCATCACCAGCCTATAGTTTTGCAACTTTGTTATGGTAAGTGTGCAACAGGTGTATTCCACAATACCACTGAATACCAGTATAGCCCTGTAGATTGAATAACCCTCTATGATGCAGTAATTACAGTAATAGCAGCTCACTACTTCACCTGATTCCCCCTTCCATGAGGCGATTGGGTCTCGGTCTGGTGATCATTTTGTTTATTGGCCCAGGTTTAACTCCCTGACAAAAAAAGATAAAAAGATAAAAAAAAGTGCTTTGTCTATCTAGAGAAAGTATCTTTGCTAGTTATAAAAAGTGTTACGACCTCCTATGTCTAGGGGAACACTTAAGGTCGTACATAAAAAAAAGACAAGCCAACGCCATCCAACTGCCAGACCAAGACACCACCAACTACAAATAATTGATCACTTATCAGCATTTATTTCTTTTAACTTGAACAAGTTAAAGGCACCATCTTGTAGAAGTTGGTAAGGCTAGTTTTAAACTGATCAAATGCAAATGAGCTTACACAAAAGATAAACTTCAGGGGGTGAGATAAAGTCAAAACAAACTAGAAACAAAGGATAACTAAACTAATCTAACTCAAAACAAAATTACAATTATAAGACTACCTCCCTGTCCCAAACCAGGAGAAAACAATATACAAAACATAAGGCACTCACCCCCTTACTTAGAAAAGGAAAGCTTTACAGGTATTTAAGCAAACTCAGACAACAATAACACAAGTTCACAAAAAGTTCAGGTGCTTGGTCTGGTCAGGTGGAGGCTGATGGCAGAGGTGCGACCATTGGAACAGCCGTCCCCTCATCCTGCAGTGCCGCAACGGCCCTTAAGTAACTGGAGCGCCCCCTGCTGTATCCAATCAGACCCTCCAGACACCAATCCTAGAGGGAAAGTGATTACAAACACCATACGCCCCCAGGATCATAACAAAAGATTAGAGAGAAAGCCAGTCCTGGGCTCAGATACTGCTAGAAACAAAAGCCCATGTTGATACATAGAGAAAAGAGTTAAACACAGTGCAGTGCAATACATTACAATGAATACTTAACTCAGTGCTCACTTAAGTGCTGCAACAATAAGACACAAGAAAATTAAAAGGAAAAAAATAACATTACTAACACTAACTAGTCAGGCAAAGTATGTAACATATGTCAAAACAAAATTGCATTCAACAATACACAGCTCTCCTACAGATCCTAATGCTTGACAAGCTGGACTCTGGCTTTGACAGATGTTTCCAAATACAGTTGTCCTACTGTTTACACTTAAATATCACTAATATTTGGAATATGAGGCCTATGAATTGCGTCTCAACACTTACTGCTGTTCTGGGCTTGTGCCATTGTTGTTCTGTCTCAGTGCAGGTCTGGACAGGGGGCACAACCTGCACCTTCAGCTCTGAATAGTGTGCAGTTTGGAACAGCAAAGCGACTGTGTGGTTACACACTGCAGTGCCAGCTACACACGAGCATCGGTTTGATATGAGGATGACAGGGTCAGAATCCCGAAGCACTATCTGTACAAGTATATAGAGAGAAACTTTTACAAGCATTGACAGTGATTTGAGAGTGTGTTTGAGCTTTAATTTATCCTTTAGCAGTGGTCCAAACAGAAGCCACTGGTTTGATTATCAGCCTAGTTAGGTTGCTGGGGTAAGTTTGGCAATGACATTAATACAATAAATACAAAAATAGGATTTGTTAATGCTGTCATAAAGAAATTTTTTCTCTTGGGAGTCTTGATTATGAATAAGATGGAATAAAGGGTGGCACTCAAAATAAAGCGTTTACAGTCAGAGTCAACTATACCCCAGGGACCTCACTATCCTCGTCTTTTAACAAATAGACAAACAACAATGAACTTGGAACAACTGTGGATGCATTTACCAAGCGTCTCAGAAAATGACAGCTCTTGCCTTTCTGACCAGGGTGATTAGTCGCTCTGGATTAGAGCGTCGGCTAAATGCTGTAAATGATTAAATCTGGTCATAATAACTGATTAGTCTACTCTTATTCCTATCTCTGAGAGGCTTGATAAAAACTATCCTTGAACTGGAACAGACTCAGAACTCGAAGAGAACACCCAAACCATCCCTAACATTACTCTCAGACTGTGAGGCTTCTCCCTTTTTCTCATAGACCTGTAACACCCTGCCCTGATGCTGACAGCACCAGTCAGCCTGTCTTTGTTTGATACTGGAGACAAATAAGTGACAACGTATTTATGTGGGTCTATGGCTGGCAATAAAAAATCAGAAATTTACACAGTGACAAGTTTTCTATCAACTAAAATTAGCTAGTCAATGTTAGCTAGCTAGTGACATACTACATGATCCCTATTCGGAACTGCTAGCGTTAGCTAACTTTAGCTATCTAACGTCAGCAGATACACACCCTCGTAGTCGCATATGTATGAGGAAGCGTATAGCTTAAACCCCTTATCCATTTTGGTGGCAGGAGTTTTAGACGTCAACCTGCATATACGATGTACATCGGTTATGCTTAGCTTTGGTAGCTCCTGAAGGCATCTCGAGTAAAACAGCGCCATGGTGAAGGTAGCTCAAGAACCAGAAATTATGCGACCTGTTTTACAGAATACGGAAGTTTGTTGCGCATAACTCCTTTTAACCTACCTTGGAAAGGAACGGGTGGAGATTTTGGGAGAACATTATCCTAAAAAACAAAACTAACGTTAGTTGTACTGCTTTTTATAGAAACATGAAACATACAGACAACATAGCTTAATGACTTGCAAATATGAATTAATATAGCTAAGATTAAGATAACTCACCTCAAATGACTGTTGAAACCGTTAAACGGAAAAGAATTTAAATGCAACTCAGAACGCCTCTCTCTGGACCAGCATCGGCAAGTGAATCAATCTATACGTCACAAAGGACGTTACTGCTACGCAGATCTTCCGGGGGGGAAAAACGGATCCAGATCAGAGTCGCTTGCTATCGGTGACATCCTCAGAGCAGCGTGAAACTCGTGAGGGAACTGGTGAGAGAGAATGGAGTCCGCTGCATTGTGTTTGTTGCTTTTTCATTTCTTCACGGAAATGGAGATGTTCTTATGTAATACAATAAACTACTATACAAATACTTAGAAATAAAATACAATATATGGACAAATGCTTTAATTAATCAGTCATTTTACACTTTATAAGGTAACTAAGACGAATTCAAGCATGTGAACAACTTACTTTTAAAACAACTTACTTTTTTTGCGCCATTTTCGTGGCGCTGTGTTCTTTTTTTCTCCTTCACATCATTTGTGCGCGGAGACAACGCATGTCATAGCAAGCTGGACTCTCAAATAAATAAATGAAAAATGCCCAATAACTGTGGCTTTTACCGCACTGCTTTAAGACGGCAAAGACGCTCCCGTAGAAGAGTGCTGCTTTATCTGTTAACCTTGAATGTAAGTTACTTTCTTGCTCCTATCTTGTTAGCCAGCTGGCTAAAGCTAGCTACACAATATCAAACAAAATACAATGAAATGTCATATATGCTTTTGTGTTATTACAATCACACACAAACATTTAACATTCATATAATTACTTTAGCCATTCATATAGAGTCTTATGCAAAAGTTTGCAAAGCTCCATTCAGATTATGGTTTGGTAGTTTTCTAAATGAAAATAAGTTAACTTCATCTACAGAGGACACTGCAAAATGTAATGTATAATTTAATATTTAGTTAGTTAAATAAATAAATAAATAAATGAATAGGGAGTACTCAAACACACTGTGTATGTGAGAATAAACACTAATTCATCTTAAGATCCAAGCATTTATGTATATAAAAAAAACTCTTGTTTTTAAAGACTACAAGACCAAGTCTATACTGCCAGATGAACTACACCACATATGTCTTTGCACTGTACTTTGACAATACCAGTAACCTTTGCCCAGATTACCGTCTGTCCAGAGAGTCTTTCAGCCACCTCATGCAGTCTCTAAAGGCTAATTTGGGCTCTGGGTGCACTGTAAAACCCAACAGTAGAAGTTTGATAAATTAATTTGGTTGTAATAACTCAAAAAAATAAAAAAGTTAATTCGCCTCTATTTTTCTGCGTAATTTGCACTAATTTGATATTCTAAGTTTACAGTGCTAAACCACTTTAATTCATTTTTGTCATTGCACTCAAATAATTTTACAAGAATACCGCCTGACGTCATGCACGTTCGTACGTGCTCCTCCATGTGGGCACGTCCGCCATGTTTACTCTGCTCGCCTCAGGCTGAATAATGTGGAGAAAAGTGTGAACAGTTTTCAAGTTATGATATAATGAGATATTTTCTTCTCGGAAATTCGCCGTGGGAGTGCTTGTGAAGACGTCTGAGTTGAAACGCGATGTGGAATGCAGCAATTTTCTGAATCTGCAAACTTTCTCTTGCTGCAGACCGCCGCGATACGGATTTTCTCTTTGGGCGCTACTTTGGTGAGCCATCTGTTTATTTAGCACCATATTTTGCTGTTGTGTAGCATCGTTTTTGCATCTAATGTATTTAGTGATTTAGCAGTTATATTTATGCATTTGAAAAGTGAATATGACCAGTTAATTTTAAACTGCGCCACTGAATATGCAAATTGGTAGAAGTTGAAGTTGAGTGTTTAAGTTGAAGCCGGTGTATAAATAACGTTTCATTTAATATTTAGGTATTGTTTTTTTTTTTTACCTCAAAGTTTGCCTCGTTGCATCGGTTGTGCATACATTCAAAACATTTAAGCAGGATAAATTAATTTAAATTTTTATGCTCTCTGTAAAATGGCGGGCTGGTTTTAATCAGCATGAATTTGGACGTGAGGTGGTAGTTTGCATGTAGGCTTGTATTTTTGTTTAAAAAGGACTGTCGCAGTTGGAGTTCAGTGTCCCCTGCTTGGTAACTTTCCACAATCTAACGTTAAAAGTTAATGGAGAAACAAAGTTTAAAACAAGCAACTTTTCTCACGTTATTTTGTTCAAAAATTGAGAAAGTAACAGTTGGCTTGTGTTTATATTTTAAGTGATTTTGTCGCTGTTACTTTTATTCTGCAAAGAGGTTAAATAATCAATCTGTTTTAAAGAATGTGGCCAAGTCCAACAAGCAGTGCTTGTGTTATTCAGCTGAGGCATTTCTTTGTTGCTCCTCATCTTTTAAGATGTAACGAATTAAAGAAATCCAATTTTAAAGACTCCTCCAACCAAATGCATTTGTTTTGGGTTGGTTTGTATTATGAGGTCAGGGAGAGCACAGTATATTTCACATAATGCCTGTTAGATAACTGATATGTGTGAAATGCTTAACTGGATTTTTCCTAATATTGCAGCCAAACTATTCCATCTTTCTCTCTTCAGGTTAAAACTGATGCAGCTTGCTGATATATGGAGTTTAAAGTCAGGTATGTTGATAGACATTTAATGTAATAGATGTTAATTTTACTAAAATGTGAATGTGTATTGGCACCAACAATGGTTTGGAAGTGCAAACTTTGTGCTGCTCTCTTTGATAAAAGGGCACAGGTGCTTGAACACTATCGATTGCATCATGGCAGTGTTTCCTCTGTCAGTCCATTGCCATGTCTCTATGATGACTGTGTCTGCACATTTCAGTCCATAAATGCTTTGAAAATTCACTTGACACGGGTACATATTCAGACAGTTGTGCATGCTGGAAATCAGATGAGATGTGTATGATTCATCTGTCCTTTGTGTGGATTCAAGCAGCCATTCAATGATAAAACTCTACTCAGTCATTTAAGGACACTTTTAAAACAACACGAGATGGTGGATTGTCCATTCCAAAATTGTCACTATCTTACTAATGTGTATTCTTCCTTCAACACACACAAAAGTAGGAGTCATCCAGACAGTGATGTCTCAAATTTTAAGAAAGAAATTGTCTTGACAGAAACTGACAGCCCCCCAATGCATACATACCCAGCCATCACCATGTCTTGAGATGTCTTAAGACATGTCTAAAGACACATTATGAAGACGTCTTAGGACATCTTGAGGCATGTCTTAAGACATGAAGACATGTCTTTAAGACGTGTCTATAGACACGGATCTTAAGATGTCTTGGCAATGATAACATCTCAAGACGTCTCAAGATGTAGGATGTATAATACGTATTTTTAAATTTTACCTACATTTTTTTAAATAAATCTTTTACTTTTAATATTTTAAGGGAATTTTAAAATGTAACATTATTTATAGCTAAAATTATAGTAATTTTTTTTTTTTTCATTTTTTTGTTCTATGTAGGATGCATAATGGTATCATTTATTTTAATATATTGCATATCATTTTATAAACATACAAACATTACATACATTAGTACATACTACATTTATACATTTCCGAACAAATTTAACAACAAAAGTAATAATAATGATAATAATAGGCACATGGTTCCCAGTCTGTAGCTTTCTCTACAATAAGCCATTTTATATGAAACCACTAAATGATTTTGTTTACATCGCAATGACAGAATTATGCCAAGTTTAGAAAAATGTGGAATTCTCCTTTAAATGTTTCTGTTGCATTAGAAAAGTTTATGGAATCAGTGATATGATGAAAGTTTATTTGTGAGTTCATACCATGCCTTCAACATGGTGGTAGTATGAGGGAAGACTCTTATGCAACTATTTTGTAATACAGTGTTGCAGGAAAATGTAAAAATTTAATTCAGTGCTTTTAAATACCTTTTTATAGTAATTAACCCTTAATGTTTTAAAAATGTGGTAAAAATTAATATTTTACAGTTGATTCATTTTTTAATGAAGGTATCATTTTATCAACTTTTAAAATAATAAGAAGAAGGAGAACAAGAACAATAATAAGTATGCATAAATTACAGTAAAGTAATTTAAAGGGGTATGGAAAATCACTATTTTACAGGTTTGTATTTCCTTGTTAATCTGTTAAAAATTCAGAATACTTCTACATTCAAATAATTTACTCTGCAATCCAAAGCATAGCCCATGAAAAAGCACCCACATAGCTTTCAAAAAATATAATTACAGTTATTGTTTATTGTTTTTACAACTGTGTATATGCACAGTACAATAGCGTCATCACACTTGATATGTTCTACAGACGGGGAAAAACATGTTAACTGACTTTGTGTAGAAATTTAAAATATACTGCAATAAATACACAGTTCCACAAACCAATGAATCTGATTTTAAGGTCTGCTGTTATTCCGTATATAAGTTATGCTGAGGTTATTAACAATATAGTACTATGAACAATTATAAATGATAGGAAACAATTTTAAGACAAATTCATATGGACTAAAAAGAAAAACTGACCAACAGAGTAATACAGAGGTCTGAACCCCAGCAGTACTCATAACATACCTGAGCCAGATAATGATCAGCTGTCAAACAATTAATACCAGACTCAGATGTGCTGGTAGCTGGAATAGAGTCAAGCTGTGGACATATGTGGACACAGGAAACAGGACACAGATAACAGTGTGCATATGTCCATGCCGTAATGCCTGAACACTAACATTACTGATATCGCACTGCTAATGTTACCGATCTCTCCTTTCAGAGTTAAATCCATGATGAGTGAGAGAACTGTCAGATTCACAGCCCATCGCTTCTTCCTCTGTTTTTTCTCAGTGTTGGTCTTCTTTGTCAGAGATATGAGGAAAATGCATCTGTCAAAAAATCAATTTTAAGACAATAAATTTGAAATTACTTTTGGATCTGCATACACAAGCAGGCTGAATTTAAAGGGGACCTGTTATGCTAATTTTCAATGTTCATAAATTTATTTTTGGGGTCGACTATAATACATTTACATGCTTCAGTGTTCCAGAAACACATTATTTTTGTCATACTGTAATTGTTTACTCACCCTCTGTCTGAAACGCTCTGTTAGAGCTCCTGTGTCTTTAAGCCCCTCCTTCCTGATGAGCCCAGTATGCTCAGATTAGTTAGCTCGCTCACTTGGCTCTGACTGATCAAGCACCAGAGCGGTTCCGCCAATACACGGGCTCCGGTAGATGCGTTGCGTTGTGTGAGGGCGTGCCAAGCTCACTGGTAGGTGGGCAATAAGAATTGTGTTATGGGATTACATCATCTTGTAACAAAGGAAAAGGGCTGGGGAACTCCAGGCCTCAGGCAGCTGAGAAAAGTGGTTTCTGTGGGAAAGAGTTTCTCCCTCTGGCATATACTTTCAGCTTTGTATCTTACACACACAAAAAAGCTACATAACACAGTAAATAAAAGGGAAAGCATTATATATTCCCTTTATAAGTAGAATATAATGTACAGTATACATAATTTTACTCATCTAAAATCAACTCAGGCATTTAGTACACAAAGAAATGTGACAAGGCTTTAAATAATACCTATGCATGAACTCCAGCGTGGCACCCAGCTCACACGCATAGCTGATGTTCAGACAATGATGTTCAGTGTAATGAAAGAAGCATCAGGATGTGGCCACTTGGGTAAGAGCACAGTTGAGTGTTGAGAATGATATGGACTGCCACCATACTGGATGAGGCCCAAAGAGAGGATGTTCCTTGGGAAGGATTGAAAACAACAAAGTTGATTAGATAATTCACAATTCTATTGTTTTCATCCTCTAACATGCCTCAGTCAACACGTGACAGAAATGATCATTTGCTGTTGAGGCAGGTGTGAGCTTAGTACTGATATCTGTATCTGTTAAAAGCTGTGTTAAAGGAGAATTACATGATTTTTAAGCACAATTTCATCATTAAGATGCAAAAAAATAGTTTGATACAAAATGTTCCACAGTGGCAGTGACAAGAACCAGGCGTTTGAAGAGTTCAATGCCTCTAATCTCTCTCACAGAGAATTATTACATGAAATGATTATTAATAAGAGCTGAACTCTATTAGATCATGTTTACCACATGCTTTATGCTATAAATTGTAGGGCTCTGAGACTTGCAGTATTACACATTAAAGCACTGTGAAGAAGTAAATTCATAAATATTGATACAGTGTTGGTGATTTTGCCATATCGATATTTTGAACACAGCTGTAATGGCAAATAACATATTAATAAATTGAATGAACAAAGCGCAGATATTTGAATACTGTAACCCGGATTTACCTAAACATTCTGCTCTTCTGTATTACAATAAATACTTCATGAAATATATTTGTTTGAAATACCCACCAAATCTAAACATCTGTCTGACATTCAAATAGTTTCATTTAAAAAATTAAAACTTGAGTCTCACCAGTTGCTCAGCTTCAGATGATTTCTGATGAGAAACATCTAAAACAAAACAGACGCATGAGGTAAATGTAGCAAAACAACAACAGTAAGGCATAACAATGAAAAACACAAAACAAACTGGTCATTATATATTACTAATAAATGTAGCTGAGTAAAACATCTAAAGCACAGATAATACATTTTAAAAATACTCTAGAAAGTACAAATCCACCAAGACGTTACTAGAGTAAATGTAACTGAGCAAATTAAAATTATTACTACCCTCTCTGAACCACACAGACTGACGGACTATGTTCAGTTTCATTGCTGTATTGTTCAGTGTGCTGACCCTGCTGCGCTGGGATCAGTGTTGTTGTGTTGATCAGTGCGTTGACCCTGCTGCGCTGGGATCAGTGCGCTGACCCTGCTGCGCTGGGATCAGTGTTGTTGTGTTGATCAGTGCGCTGACCCTGCTGCGCTGTGATCAGTGCGCTGACCCTGCTGCACTGTGTTCAGTTTTAGGTTTATTTCTGAGGCAGTCTTTCATTTGGAGCGCGTGCTAAGCGACATCTGACGCAGCCGCGAGGCGTAAACAGACACGCCGCTTAGCCGCTAGCTAGCTAACTACATACGCTAACCTACCGTTGGTGTCTTCACTCGGCAGATCGACCAGAAATACAGAAACAAAAGTTACTCCAGCTGACTGTCAGTGAGGCTGCTCATCTCATTCGGTCACTACTCACCTTTTAAAAGCAGACTCTGACCGCTGCAGTCGTCACTCCACTCGGTCCAGTCAGCTAGTTAGCTTAGCTAACTACGCATCTGAAAATCCTCGTTTGTGGAGCTGAAAGCTTCCCCCGGCAGGCGGCGCTGTCTGAGTAAGGAGTGTAGGAGAGTCTTATCGAGGTTTAACACTCGCTAAACAAACTCGATAAACTGCCCGCGGTAGCGACCTGAGAGACTCGCTCACTGTAAACGGCTGTAACGGTCGCGTTTGGCTTTAAACGGAGGAACGGCGGAGAGCGCTCGCGCTTCAAAACCGAACGTCCAAGCGGCAGAGTCGCGCGCTCTGATTGCTCTGAAACTCCCGCCAGTCTTTTGTTTGTCCTCCCATAGAGCTTTTCTCCCGGTTCGCCCCTCTCTGTACTGAAGGAACTGTGCTGTTTTGTTTTTGTTTGTTTGTTTTTTTAATCTAGACACAGAATAGAAAACTGCAAACCCTTGAAATACATAAGACAGCTGTACAGCATTATCATACAGCATCACTGGAGGCCATGTCTTAATATATTAAAGTCAAAGTATGAAGTTGGACATTCAAACAAAAATCTGTTTATTATGTAATTTTACGTGGTGAAACAATACAGGTCTTTATATTACTACTCAAATACATTTGTTTATTATTGTTCGTGTTTTCCAAATACTGGAGATAATAATTTTGAAAGTTATACAAATTAAAAGTCTAACTTTGGGCAGCCCTGATCTGCTTAAGAAAATAAAAGTAAAACCTTAGTGAATGTTCTTTTAGTAATATCACACAAAAACCATAAGATGACAGCAGGCTGTTTCTTGAGGACATACTTATATTCTCTCTTATATAGTTATATTCTCATTATATTGTACATTAGGCAGTGCTGTGGTAATCCTCAGTAGTAATTTTCAGTTTGGCAGTATCACAGGAATACCACACTCATACCACAGGACCTTTTGTAATGGACCACTCTTTGGTCTCAACTGAACTGTCTTAAGACACAACATCTCTATGTCTTAAGACAAAGTGATGCCTCGTCTTCAAGACACACAAAATAATTACTTCTTTGTCTTAAGACGTAACTTTCATGTCTCAAGACAAAGACAGTGTCTTCACTCATACGTCTTAAGACGTTCTTGAGACGTCTTGGCATAAAAAAATGTCTCAAGACATCTTATAAATACTGTCAAGACATCTTAAGACACAGTGACAGCTGAGTATGTAGTCAGGTTGAATCTGATGAGGCTGTTTCTTCTCAGAATTTGTATGAGCTGTGTACTCCTGACTGTAATCCTCATGAATCTAGGAATGACACTGATGAATTGCAAGCACAACTGAGAAACAACTTGGCTTCTTTGTTCTTGAAAATGCACAGTGTTCTTCATGTATCTGCAACAGCTATACAAGACATAATTGACAATTTGGTACAGATATTCTCACTGTCCAAACCTCTTGTGAGAGACTCAGTCATCAAGGTTTTGTGAGAACATGATCAGTCTTTCAGTGAAGTTCTTCTTAATGAATTAGTGGAAGCTATCATGAAGTGTAACGTCTTTGTCAGTGCTACTGTGGAAGGTGCAGAGCTGTCCACTTCTAAGCGAAGGAAAACATTTGTGAGATGTAATTACCCTTTGGTAATGCCAGAGCAATATACTGTAGATTCTAGCCGGCACACAGCAGTGTATGTTCCAATACTACAGATGCTTCAAACTATGTTTAAAAATACTGATCTTCTTGATAAAATTCAAAAAAGCAAACCATCATCCCCTGGAAGGTACATGTCTCATGAAGATGGAACATATTTCAAAGAAAATCAATTACTGTCAACAGCAGGAGAGCTGAAATTATCACTGATTTTGTATGTGGATGACCTTCAACTAGCAAATCCTTTAGGCACAGCTAGAAAGATCCACAAACTTTGTGCAGTATATTGGTTGCTTGCCAATATACCCAGTGAGTATAGGTCCAGCCTACATGTCATACAACTAGCTCTGCTATGCAAGGCATCTGATGTGCAGACATGTGGTTATGGAAGTGTTCTGTTGCCTTTATTGAAGGACTTGCACACTCGAGCAGGATGGCATTTTCATTGAAACTCTTGGTCAGTGTATCAGGGGCACTGTATTGTGTGTGGCAGCTGACAATCTGGCTGCTCATGGTCTTGCAGGCTTTGTGCAGTCTTTTCGAGGAAACTGTGTTTGCAGATTCTGTTGCTGTACTTCAGCCCAAATACAGGACAGTGAAGTTTCTGAAGGAGAGTTTAGCATGAGAGAAAAGGCCTGCCATGATCTTCATGTGCAAAATGTTGTACAAGGAGAATATGTAACCCATTTTGGTGTTACAGCAAGGCATTGCAGCATATTCACCCCATTACTGGGTTCCCTCCTGACATACTGCATGATCTGTTTGAGGGTGTTGTGCCTGTTGAGTTGGCCTTGTGCATCCATGAAATGATTCAACTGAAGTATTTCACTCTTGACTATCTAAACGTGTGAATTTTCATATTTCCATATCAGCACTCTGATAGGCTTGATAAATCACAACAGATCCCAAAGAGTTTTGCAGTCAAACTAAGCATTGGTGGGAATGGGCATGAAAATTCTACTTTGCTGAGGTTATTACCACTTATGATAGGAAGTAAAGTTCCTGAAGGAGATGAAGCATGGGCTGTATTGATGGACCTTAAAGAAATTGTGCAGCTAGTGTTGTCTCTGTCTTTCACAGAGGAATCCATCCAGTACATGCAAACTAAAATAACTGATCACAGACAGGGTCTTAAAGCAGCGTTTCCAGAGTTTAAGCTCAGACCCAGGCATCATTATGTTGAGCACTACCCAGAATTGACGAAGTGTTTTGGGCCTCTGGTTCACCTATGGACCATGAGGTTCGAGGGCAAACACCGTTTTTTTTAAAAGGGTGATACATGATACACAGAATTTCAAGAATGTCTTGAAAAGTCTTGCAACCAGGCATCAATACATGATGGCGTATCACCTCAATGCACCATTATATTTCAGACCCCACATACACGCCTCAAGAGTCACCTCTGTCCAAGTTTCTACTCTGCCTCAAGTGGCAAAAGACTTCATAGAGACCAAGACGGATAGCCAAAACATATACAGTACAGCAAAGGTTTCTGTAAATGGCACAGAATTTGCAAATGGAATGTTTGTTTCTGCAGGGCAGACAGGAGGACTTCCAAAATTCAGCAGAATTGATTATATACTGCTTGTGAACAACTCAGTACAGTGAGCATTTAAGATCATTTAAGCTAACATCCTCAGACAATTTCTCTGTGCTTCAGCCTCCAGACTTAAATGATACAGTAAGTCTCACAGCATACGCTATCGATGGACATTTGCTGTTAACTCAGAAAAGATTTATTTTGATCAGATACTTGGAGGATTAAAGGCCGAAATGTAGACCTATAGGCTATGTTCACACTACAAGTCTGAAGTGACTTGAATACGATCAAGGCAAATCCGATCTTTTCAAATCAGATTTGAGTCACTTTCATATGTGGTGCTAGATTGGATAAGTATCTGAGTTGTGCCCATGTGACATGAATGAGAACAGTGATATTGGATTTCATGTGCCTTTTTGCCTGTGCACATGCGCTTAGTGCTCTGCAGCAGTGCCAACAATAGATGAAGTCATCATGTGCATTTCATGAGCTGTTGCTGTCCTTCCAAGCAAAATCCGTGTTCGTACTAACGAACAGCTCATCAATTGTACATGATCAGGTCAAGATGGCTTGTTTTGCTTTTTATTTGTTTGTTTATTTTATTTTATTTTTCAATTCACAAATGTGATGTTTTTTGTTTGTTGTTCATAAATTAATCACTGCCATTTCAGGGGACAGATTCACATTAGAAACAGATACAGGTCTTTTACAGTTATGAATGTGAAGTGTGAAAAAATTCAGTATTGATCAGTGAGGCTTGTAATGTGAACATAGCCATTAGTGGTGTAACGGATCACAAAACTCGGTTTTTGAGTCACAGAACGGATCATTTTTCAGATCAGCAAAAAAGATAAAAGGGAGACGAATGGGAGACAGTAATTTTAGCTTTCAGTTTGAAAGTATTTTGTTTTGCTGTTTAGTTTGTAATAGTGACTGTTTTGGCATGGTCTGTTTTATGTTGAGGATTTGTATTTTGTCATGTGGCACAGTGTTTACAAACCGTAGCGGATTTATCCTCACGCTCCATTCACATCACAGACAGCTGCTCTTTCATGGCAACTCTACATCGAGACTGAGGATATTATTACTGTAAAAAGTAACAGCAGCAGTAAAACTGTATTCCACACTGTTGTGGTTAAACTTTGGCAATCTGCAGTTCACGTGCGTCCCGAACCGTGGGGAGTGAGCCGTATGGATCATGGGTTATGTTTGATCCGTTGCACCAATAAGACCCATACAGGAACAATATGGAGAATAATGGTCACACAAATTACCATCAGATCATTAATGCATTTTCTCTTCTTTTTAACAATAGGAAATGGCAAGTCAAAACTTCATATTTCATCTCCGTACCTCCACAGACATTGTGAGGAAGATGACTCTGTCTTTACGCCCAGAATCTGTGGATGAGCTTAAAACAATGATAAAAGAAAAGTTAGACTTTGACTTCAGCCTATCATACCAAGATCCAGACTTTGACGGGCAGCTGTGTTCCCTTGTAGACATTGAGGAACTTCCACAAAAGGCTGTACTAAAAGTTATACGACCTGAGAGTGATGCCAGCTCAGTAGCATCAGATGACACAATAATATTGCCCCATGCCATGACTCCAGACAGGACTGAGGGATGGCCTCATGTTTTTCCAGTGCCCACTTTTTCCTATGAGGTAGAACTCATACTTGGTGAGGGAAATGTTGCATATGAGAGAACAGGGAAGGCTGTCAAGTTATCTAGGGGACAAAAGCATGACATCCTTGAGACCCTTGCAGGCAGAATGCATAGCTTCAAAGCATACCCCAATGATAAGGAAGTGTCAATGGTAGCAGAAGCCCTTGTCACTAAGCATCCCTGTCTAAAAGAGCCAGGATCCCAGACGGGGTGGTATGGTTGGAAAAATAGTCTCAAGTTTAAGTTGGGCAACTGTCGCAGCAAGTTGAGTCGGGCTGGGTTTCAGGAGGTAGCTGTAAATTCTGGAAAGAGGAGTAGAAACAACCCAGACAAACAAGCTCCTCACACTAACATCAAAAGACCCAAGAGGGCAGAAGTGAATTTCCTCCCTAATTTCCCACAAGGGGAAAATACCAGAAGCCTTGAACAATGATTGACAATGATGAGACTGCAAATTGTAGATGAAGTTAAGAAGAGTGACAAAAATCTTGTTCTGATTACAAAGTTAATGCAGACCACCTTTGCCCTGCGACGCAAAGAGGTAATCACTGAAGACCTACTTGTTGGTGATATTTTGGAACGCTGGCCTGCCCTCAAAATAGAGTCACAGGTAAAAAAAAAAAAAGTTTCCCTCATTACACTTATTTGAGCAGATATATTATCTCTTTGTATCCGTAGGGGAACCCCATGGATACCACAATCCATGGATAGGGAGGGCCGACTGTGCTGTTTAATTCCTTTGTGTGGCTGTGTCAGTGATAACTTTGTCAGGTTTACTTAGGTTTACATCATATGAGTTAGGGTAGTGTAAGGAGTCTGCATGTTTTCCACCAAATCTGATCATCATAGTTCAAAAAGTTTTGTTTCTATTTTTTTTTTTTTCTACAG